CTAACTCTTCCATTATTGAATTGAATAACCATAATGTCAACAAGACATTAAGACGGCGCAACATGTCACACAGCTCGTGAAACAATCGATTTATTGAAAGACACGTTTGGTGACCGCCTAATTCCACGTTTTGGACCTGTGAATTGGCCCCCAAGATCTTGTGATTTAACATCGCTAGACTACTTCCTGTGAGGCTATGTAAAGTCATCGGTCTATGCGGATAAGCCACAAACGCTTGACCATTTGAAAGACAACATTCGCCGTGCTATTGCCGATATAAATCCACAAATGTTGGAAAAAGTCATCGAAAATTGCACGTCCAGATTGGACTACATCCGCGCCAGCCCTGGCGGTCATATGCCAGAAATCATATTTAAAATGTAATGCCACAAGATTATCTTTCGGATAAATAAAATTCATGTCAATCGAATAATCCATCTTTGTTTTATTGCAACTTAAACTTCTATACATCGAAAAAAAACACCCCTTATAAATTTCTAACAAGTCTCTAGTGAGGGACATTGGAAATCGAATCCTTAGATATACAGAGTGATATATGAAAAAGGTCAATCTCTAAATTGGAAGTACTAGACACCAATATTACGAAACTATTAAATTTCATTCGATGCTTTTCTATTACTGTTACAAACTCGTTATTGTTAAATATTAGTATTTATTGCTCCCTGTATATTTACATCTTTTAAGTATTTAGAAAGAAAACATGAATCATGAATCATGAAATTACCTTTTTAAATGAAAATAAATCACAAACCGACAAAATTAGACGGTCTTTCTAGGAAACACGTCAGATAAAAAATATAATTGATTGATGATAAGTTCCAATTGCGTAAATGCCATATAAAAAACTGCCAACAACATTATAAATTAACGAAACGAAAATTGAAACCACCGAGATTTGTATGAGGTATATTGATCTCAATCGTAACATTTTGCAGTTTAGAGATCGCCAATTCTTAATGAATGACTGTGTATATCGATTCACAATGTACCTTATTCTCTTACTTGTTTTCCATAAATTCTGACTTATTTTTTAGAAATTCTGACTTGTTTCTCAGTTATTCCTATTTAAATCAGAATTTCTTATTTAAATTTCAGAAATTATGTTTTATTTTTAAGAAATTCTAACTTGTGTTTCAAAACCTTTCACTTAGTTTTCAAAGTCTGACCTATTTTTCAAAAATTCTGATGTAACTCAGAAATTATTATTATTATTATTATTACAAAGAATAATGCAGAGGAAAACCTATTATGCACATTGATAGTTAGTAGTATGAGATTGTTATACATATAATAAATATTTAGTTATTGCTGTGAAACAATACACTGTTCAAGCGATGTTTAAATACAGACAAGTTCAGCGCACACCCAACATCTGGGGGTAAACTGTTCCAATAATCGAAAGTCCTGTTACTTATAAAATGCAGGCGATGTGAAGTCCTGAATTGTTCCTTCCTTATTTTAAATGGATGACCACCTAGGCATTCATCATTGCTTAAGACCACAAGGGGCACGTCAGATTAAAATTGGTCATGCGCAAACCTATATATTATATAAAGTGAATGTCTTCTAATAAATTTGAATTAATATGACCTTCACAGTGAGACGGTAGATTAGCTGGTTCATCAGCAAGGACACTAGCAAAATATGAAGCAACTTCATTTGAAATGAAGTCCTGGTTATAGGAGACCTCTCCCGAGGTATCTCTAATGACAGGAAGGGTTACCTTAGACGATACGTGTTGTCTGACGTAAGAATAAAACGCTTTGGGCCGATTGAGGAGGTCATTTTCGAATGCTGACTTCGCCTCTCTAATCTCCAAGGATAAACTATTAGAAAATCTTCTGTGCAAAGCATAATCGGAAGCAGAGCCAGAGGCCTTTAATCTACGCCACAGAGCTCTCTTATGTTTTATTTGTTTGAACAGATATCCAGTTAACCAAGGTTTCTCAGAATTGCACTTCACAAAATGAGTTTTGGAGCTTGTGCTTATGTAATAATCCAGAGTAGACAGAAAATATATCCATACCATAATATTGCTACTTATTTTTCAGAAAGTCTGACACACTTTTTAAAAATTCTTAAGTTATAAATTCTAATTTACTTTTCATAAATGGACCTTTGGACTTATTTTGATAATTGCGGGACAAAATAAACAAACAACCAGAAAGCTGATACTATAAAATCCGTGGCATAAATCGCGACTAAATTCTCTAATTAAAATAGAAAGCATAAGTGTGTTACATACATTTTTCTACTTCGCTTGACACACCATAGGTAAATAATAATTGGTTGGTTAAATTTTCATTTTATGAGATCTAAAATGTTATCTCTCCATAGTGTGGACAAATTCGTTTCTTCAGCTCCATATTTTTTGTTCTTTTTCATTATTAAAGTTCAACTAGCTGTGTTTATTTGCCTTATCCATTTCAGGTTCATATTCATACTTTCTTTAATTTCACAGTTAGCCCTTACTTTCAAGGACACTCAACTTGAATCAAGTCAGCTGTGTACGTTTGCTTTAATCAACTAAGAGCAAAAATACGTGCTACATTTTCGTATCTCGATTTTCAGGCTTAAATTTTCGGCATACACAAATTTCAAACGGATATTTGTCGCGCAGTCCCCGCCCCTTAATCAACGACCACCCGCCGCGAATGTAATGTCTCTCCGGCATCTAATCGCCCTTTATCAGGAATATTCCGACTGCGCTGTAATAAAAACAACGCAATCCTAGTACAGAAAAAAAATTCAGAGCGAGAAGCTTTGAACTTCCGTAATGTCATTGGGGGATAAGGGAAAGGGTCTTTTTTATATTACGTAGTATAATGATGGATAATGTATGTCATTCGCAATAAATTCTAGAACATGGACAAGACTTTCTACAACTAATTAATGTGTTTCCCTTGATAATTCAAATCAATGACTGAACAAAAATGACAACCAGATAAAAATGTACAAATTGTCAGAAGTAGTAATCATACTGATGCGCAGAAGCAAAGCGGCCTATGTAATATTTTATTTATATAAAAATATATTTTTGAATCAAATTTTTTCTTTTCCGCGTGATTATTTTTTACGATACTATTTGACAAAAACTGGGTTGATAGTTCATGCATTATTTGCTGTTAGACAAGTCAAGAAAAAGTTCACTTAGAATTTGCAATGCAATTTTAAAAGTTAAATAAAAATTTAAATTTAAAGTAAAATTTAAAAAGTAACCATTGATCGTTCAAAATAAATAAATAAATAGACATACTTGTGATATCCGATATATAAAACACTTCGAAGTGTTTTCGGAGCGCGAGCATTGAAGATGCCAAGTGAGATTTTGGCGAAACGTCTGCAGGATTCCAGTCGGATGCAGGATTCCAGTCGGAGTTCAACGAGCGAACGGATGATATCCCGGAATATAGTGTCATCATATATATATATATATATATATATATATATATATATATATATATATATATATATATATATATATATATATATATATATATATATATATATATATATAAATCAACATCACTGATATAAATAAAAAAATGTTGTGCATCTCCTTAATACACACTTTAACCCACTGGATATCAAAATTTTAAACATTTAGGACATACATTGATGAAGTTTTTTCTTTAAATATTCCCCATCATTATCATCTTATAACATCTGTATAACATCGAATCAATATCAATATCCAACTTAAGTACGTTAAGTACCTATTCGTTTTCCATGTAAAGGGTTTTAACATATAAACTAGAATAAATTGAAAAACCAATAGTACTAACACTTGCTTTCACTTTCACTTCATAGAACAATTATAAATAATGACCAAAGTTCCTGTTCCTGAAATTGTCGCGGTAAATTCATTTATTTTAAAATCCTGGAATCTATGGAGATACTACCTTTGGTATTTGGTCCCGTGGTCAAGAATTGCTATTTAAACCATGTTATTAAATTGGAAACTAATAATGATCTTAGGTATTAATAGATAATCACACCATTGGGTCATTCAGTTATCAGTTTACAGAAAACCTTTGCAAAACAGACCGATAAACTTAATGAATTCTCACATCACCATCTGACCCAGAAGTCATCGGTTTTCAACTCTCTTGTTTACAGAGCTCCATCTCGATTTAAAGTTATTAAGCGTTCTATGAGTCCCTAGCAAAAAGGCAAAATGCGTCCATAAGCAACCTCACCGCCCGTACATCCAAAACATTACTGACAACATGTCAAAAAATCATAAGAACTATAATTTTAACCAATTCACTACTTGCCCAACATCTTCGATCCTTCAACGACAAAATTCCATTGGATACGCGAAAAATATACACTAGAACATGAAAGAATCTTCAATAATTGATCAGCATAATCATGAAACCGGATATCAAATATTATTCGACAAAACTAAGATTCTTGCATGTAATCAATTCTTCTACTAACCAAAAATTCGAGAGTCTATAGAAATCTATAAGCAACATAACAATATTACTCACGACTCAGGTCTTTACCTTTCACCAATATGAGAATCAGTCATCGGAGTGACTTATGATGCCCATTTTTTAGCTCCGCCCCCTTACACAGTATATAAGCAGGTACAAAATAGAAAGACTAACAGTCCCAGTTAAGCCCTCAAGAAGCTAAGAATATCAACAATCGACCCAGGAGGGAATCCATAATATTTGTAAACGATAGCTTATGGGCGTTTCTTTGAAGAATGATGATCGTTTTCCTATATTATCGAAACATATCTTTATAAAACTTCATCGCTGACTGAATAAAACGCATTTTGTATAGAATGGTTGATCCAATCTTCCTCATGATTTATTCAACTTCATCATCATGGACTATTTTTGAAATTTGCGTTCCCCATCTTCCGCAATATGGGCGAAAATTCTTCAGGACACGAATAGTTCAACGTCTTCCATGTTTCCATCTAATTTCTTTTCGATTCAAATCATTTTAAATACTATTCCTACCTTCGCAATCCCTTTCGTCCGCACCATCCCTGCAATCCTGATTTTTGTCGCATATCCTGTCTACGGGGATACAGTTGTACCCGAGTTTGCCGTCGCAGAATAAGGCACCATTTTCGCATCCTTAAATCAAGGGCAAAAACGTCATCCAAAGGGTTGAAGGAGGTCACTTGAGGCTTACTTGAACATTCCTGCTCGTCGGTCGAGTCTGAACAATCCGGCACTCCGTCGCACCTCTTTTGCACAGGAATACATCGCGAAAAGTCACAGCTGAATTCACCCTGGGCGCAGTCTGCAAAATATCCAGAAAATCGTGTAAATATTCATACGAAACTGGCATTTCGAAATGCAGAGAGAAACGAGTGTAGGGGATTTGTCGGTACCCTAAAATATTTAAAGCAATTTCGATCAATGGTACATTTTGGGTAAAAGTTAACGGCCCGGCAACATTATGTTTGGCATTTGTACCAGTTTTACACTGGCAATAAATTGATGAATTGATTAATTATTTCATCATGACGTTCTTAACGAGACAGGCTAACATCGGGAACTAGCTGCTTGAACTTATTTGCTATCTCATAAAGTCATTTAGCAGTTCAACGAACTCATGGTATTTGGAGGTTATGTTTGGCGATATTTAGTTGTTTTGAAACAGTGTATTTGTTACAGTAAAAACCTGATTTTTCGAAGAAAAAACTAGTTTTAACAATCCGCCAGACTTAAATGTAGATTTAACTATTGCTTGAAGGTGGCAGAAGAACGTTTTGACAATACAGTTTAATACTACTTAATTCTACATCGACTGATAGTTGGTCAGTGTATTGTAATTGCCCTTTTGCAAAGTATTTCGATGATCCCTAGTTTGCTTGCTTCAAAATGAAGAAACCGGACAGTATTTAATTTTCGAGTTTAACAATTAAATACTGTCCGGTATGTTTCCTATATACAGAGGTGCTGATAGAGCTATTATTCATTGTTTATTGATTGTGCTGGTTGTGAAATACATCGAACTGGTGATAGGTCTAAGTGCATTTTTGGAAGTCCATAGGGATAATGAGGAGTTAACGAAGTTCTAATATTGTCCGGAATATAGCGTCTGTATTTATGCTGTGCTCGATAATAAATAATAAAATAATCTGTATGCCTTTAGCAAGTGTTTCCACGATATTGTTTTGGAATTCCTGTACATCCATGATGACTGTGGCGTTGCCCATTGTCCTTGTCCCAAGAACAACGGACAAACTCGATATTTTGTCCGAGATGAATTTTAATAGTTAAAACTAGTTTTTACCAAGTCACAAATCAACCATCAGCTGAAAATTTTCAGGGTTTACAACTTCGCAATTGCAAACAGAAGTTATTGAACAGCTAAATGATGAAGGTGACCTACAAAAATGATTAATCAATTGAAAACAAATATTAGCGATGTTGAAGAGTCTTAGTGGAGAATGTGAAATTAACATTTTTTTTTAAACCTATTACATGAATAAATAGAGATCAAAATTTCACCTTCTTTTTTTATAGCTCCAAAAACGTTGAAAACATCTACAGCTACTTTTTTTTAATTTGGTAAATAAAAAAAAAAGAGGCACCGAGAAAAGTGAAAAGTGTAAAAGTAATATTTACATTTCCATCTTTTGACTTTGACGTTTCGAAAGCCGAATAAGTACCCGAATTTCCGAAAAACTGCTGCTAGACATAAAGCATAAAGCTAAAATTAACTATGAATATTTGTTAACTCTAGTTTTTACTAGTTAAATCTAGTTAATTCTAGGTAGCAAAGGGTTGTTTTTCGAAAAATAGTCAGGTCTCAGTAAAAAATACAAACAGGGGCGGGGCACTTATTTTAAAAAAGGTTTTGAGCTGCGAACTTCTAGCCTCAGCTAGATTTATTGAAGCGTAATATAGAAGGTATTTATTAATCAATGAGACTATCAGTGTATCATCAATCAATCAATAAGAGATAGAACGATGCGGTTTTCGCAATACTGTACACGAAGATGCGGTAATCAAAATAATGCTAGCTGCCTTTGTTGGTGAGACACAGGGTGAAGCAGAAACTTTGGACATTTCAATTACCCTTTGTATTTTAAACGAGCTATATAATAATGATCTGATGAAAACGGAATCTTATTGATAAGACATAATGTTTAAGATAAGTGCTACAGTTATGTTTTTGTTAATAGAACACCCTATATATTTTTTGCTAATTTGATTACCCCATTTATACGCCTTTTAACAATGTATAAATTGATTCAATTTGAATTATTATTGCGAATTACAGAATACAAAAATTATGAAAGATCCCAAACATTTTTTTGGAAATATATTGTTAATTTTCGGAGAGCAAATAAGCAAGTGTAAACGCGTATACATATTTTTCAAAATATTCTTATATTTAAAAAGTGTACAATAACCTCAATATAATATTTATATAACACACATTGTGATTCATTCAGTGGCAGCTGGAAAAAATCCGTTTTTAGCAGTTTTCACATTTTTATATTTCATTTGCATTTTTTGTAATAAAAAATGAAAAACATATCTTGCCTGTGAATAAAATTAGGACAGAAAATAACCACAGGTTTTTTGAAAATGTATAATTAGATAATTATACATTTTAACAAAGCTTAATCAATGTTTCAGCGTATTCCATTTAAAAAAATACATAATTTTACTTTGTATTTCACTACAAAACTGAAATCATTAAAAAATCTATAAGATTTGGTCTTCATCATCTGATTACGGTAAAAGGCGCTTAAAATACAAAGGGCAATTGAAATTTAAAGTAACAACATAACCTAGTTTTCTGATTTGTTTCAACAGTTGGCATTACTGAATTGACTCAAAAATTTGACGAAAATTAGCAGAGTATTTGATATGAAAGTGATGCATCACACACCTAAAAAAAATGTTAGTGAACCAACTTCATCAATTAATTGATGAAGAAATTGTCAATGTAATATTAGTATTATCCTCAGCGACTGTATTAATGAAAAAAATTACGCAAGTGCCGAAAGGTTGTGACATCTATTTTTAGAATATCGAACTACTGGAACTGGACATTTAGAAACAATACTCTTGTGAAGAAACACCTAAATTCATTTCATCTCGTTCCAAAACACCCTTTGCCCAATCGGCGAGAACATTACAAAACGATTTACAAATTTACAGTACGTGTTTACAAAACATTATACAAATTAGCATTAAATGACAAACTATGTATATTTTAGCAAGCAATGGAAACATATTTTACAAAGAACGATACAATGATTTATTGTTCTAATAAATGGTGCATGCGTCGGGAAAATGAAAAACCCATCACTCCTGATATAACGTATCGTTGATGACATTTTGATGAACATAAAACACTAACACTAAAACACTAATGATTTCTAAGGCCCAACAGTATCAAGACCTTCTAGACAGCTGCCCTTCCAAGGCCTATTGTTGAGCATTATAAAAAGGATCAGTTGGCGTATCGATCGAAGAACTTGCCCCATCTACCGCCAGAAATCGGAACAACGAAGTCGGTCGCTCTTTTTTATAAGTTTCCTTTCGCAGGACAAGGGCAAAATCGTTATTTGTAGAATTCTTTCAGAAATTTAAATATGAAACAATGGTTCAAATATTTTTTAATATGATTAATCCTGCAGTAAATTCCAAGTAAATTAATTCAACTTTATATATTTTTTTAACTTCATTGATTGCGCAGTAAATTCCCAGTAGATTAATCAATCATTTTATTGCTTCAACATCTTCAACATTCTTCAAAACTGCACTAAAAAATATTAAATTAAAAAAGTACCCGCATAAGTACTTTTTTTTGTTAAATTTTTTTTTTCAAAGTTATCAATATGTTAAGTTTTTAAGTTTAACATTTTGCTATTTGTTAATTCGGCGTTAGTTTGGTTTTTCTGTGCGCTTGTATTGCATTTTTTTAAAATACTGAATTAAATGAGTAATCATCGGTTTTCATCAGGATATTTAGATCTTTTAAATCAACGATACACTTCAAAATATGTACACGTACAATAATCGAAGTAAGCGAAAGTATCTCCAAAACCACGAATTGTGGAGGTTTACGGTAATAAAAATATGTTTATAGTAACTAAAAGGAAATACTGTAAAGAATTTTCAAATTCATATCCATGTCGCTAGGTGGCGCCGTTGTATGCTCGGGTAGAGAAATGCATTTTACTAAATAATGTTTTATTATACGTTGATAACTGAATGCGAGCACTTGATAAATTTTAAATATTTTTTGTTCATGGCTCTTAATTGAGGGGCATCAAATAAAGATACAAGGGAAGGGAGAGATGTTTGACTGATTAACCAGTTTAGCTCAACACATTTCAGCAAATTAGGTTATTTAAACTGTTTAATAGTTATTTGTCATAACTTAGTGTAATTTGTTATTTCACGTCAAAAAAATGGAAAAATTAGAAATATTTGTATTGTTAAAAATAAACAAAATCTAATTGACTAGAGTTAAACTGTGTTATTAGCATTTCAATGACTCACACATCTTAACCTGCAAACTTATTAAATGCGCTAAAATTAAAAAGGTCACAATAAAAAAAACAAGGATGATTTATGAACAAATGAGCTGATCCTGGATTTATGACGTTTATACGAGGAACCTCCGACCATGCGCATGGAAAACTAAGTTTGCCACTGTCGCATCTCGTTAGATTTAAGCTCTCTGACTAAAACATTTCTGATAATGTGCGTGAATATTTTCATACTCGCAGCATAATTAAACTGTGTCATCTATGGGACTTTGTCCTTGTTTCAAATCCCAAAAACGCTGTCATTTGCCAGGTTAATAGTTTTACTAGCATATGGCAGCAGCAAAAACTCACACGGCGCTCCGTCACCACTAATTAAGCCGAACATTAGTAAAAATGGAGATGTAAATTAAAAAAAGTGTTAACGACCCAGCCACCACCAAGATTAGTAGGAAATACGGCAAGACCACATGATTGTGTACCATCTTGGGCTCCCAAACAGTCGATCTCGTCGCTACCGTCCTCGCAGTCCTGAATACCGTCGCACTTCTGGTCCCCGTAATAAAATTTCGAACCGTCTGCACATTGCAAGATGTCGTCTGCGCGACCGTCTCCGTCGCCGCTACCGAAATCGGGAAATTCGGTTGTAGTGGTAGTGGTACTAGTTGTGGTATCCGCGTCGCTAGTAGGCCAATTTGTAGGGATGGCGGTGATTGATGGATCGTAGGCGGCTGTGGTGGTGGTGGTCGTTGAAGTTGTAGTCTCCTCTTCTACAATACGGCGTTTTAGCGAATGCGCGGATCTTGCGTCGCACATACCACAACGGTCCGACATTTTTTAATTGACGCAGTCCACGGTATCGGTTTATTGCAGCAAAAAAAGTCAAACAAGTACAGAATGCTTCATTTTTAATTTTATTCAATACTAAGGTTGTGAGAGCATGTTTATCAGCCAAAAATAGGTAGCATAACGCAACGAATCATCACAGAAGCGACAGACTATTAAAAGAAGAAGCATTTGACAAGGAGAGCACAGAATACTACTTCATTTTAGTAGTCTTTGCCGACTGTCGTTATTTGCGCGGCGAACAAGAAATTAAATTTTCTGCAAATAAAATAGTAAATAGGTTTAAAAGTTTACGAAAATCATTTTAAAATTATTGTAAATAAACAAAAAGTAAACGCAGAAGCAAATGATATTGTGCTTGTACGTGATTAATGTCCTATCCGTTAATGTTATGGTCACTAGCAATTTTGGGGTTTCATCTACAGTTAGTATGTTTTGTCATAATCGGTATAATTTTTTTATACCTAAGATATTTTTTGAAAGTTAGATGTCAACAGAAAAATAAGTGCATGTTTATAGTATATTTTGCAACAAATGTGGTAAACAGCATTTGAGTCCTGAGCTTACTTGGCGGATCGAGTGTTTAATAAACGAGTGATTTAAAAAGTTTACTAAAAGTATTGCCTACTATAATTTTCCACGACCCATGACCATCAGAATTGTCAAACGTCAAAATTCAAGCCGCGCGGTAATATCTCTGAAAACACCCGATTGCTCCCAAACTCGTGCGGTAATACCCCAGAAATGTCCGTAGTGGCCCGGATCCATGGGAAACAAAACTGACGCGGTAAAATGTTAATTAATTAAATTAATTTCTTTGTATAATTAGGTATTTTAGACAAGGCAGTTGAAAAAATAGTTTAAAATAGGTTATATATAAGATGTCCATCTGCAAAATCGATATTTTTATTTTTGATTTAAATTCTTTCGTTTTAATTTTTTGTATTTTAAGCTGGAGCATAGTTTTGAAAGTAGCTCCGTGTAAAGGAGACTAACTGGTGCAAATTTAATTTAATTGTTTAATTAATTGGTTAGACAAGGCAATTGAAGACATTCTTCATTTTTGATTGCTTGATATAAGATGATTCTGATTTTTTTTTTGAGTAATGAACAAAAAAAAAGATTTTTTCCATATTAACCGAATAAAACGAAGAAAATTCACGTGCTTCATAGAAAGAAAAACACTTATTCCTGGCTGATAAACATTCACTTAAAACTTCGTTCTCAATTTTAATACACCACGTACAGGTCAACAGACATCCATACCAATTCTTACAATAATTCAAAATATGGTAGAAAACGATGTACAATACATTGACGTAACGCATTGGACGTAAATCTGTTAATGCAAAAATAATTGAAGCAATTACATACAAGAAAATTACATATATCCGGTCTATAGGCCAAGTCACCTTGACAATACACTATGCGTTGCTAAGAATCATATAGCAGTCTGAGAGTCGGTTCAAAAGATCACACTTGTGTGTCATGCAGATAGATAATATAATTTTAAATAACACAAATAAATATATTAAATGGATTCCTCAAACAAAGATTAGAATAACATGTTTTGAATTTGTTTGCAAAATAGGTAAGAGGTAATAGGTGAGCAGGGAATAGGATATGTTAAGAACAGGTATACTGGATCAGTTTAATGAGGAAGTAATGACTGAAATGAGCAAATCTAAAAATGATTTATAATACAACCAAATATGAAATATTTCTCTTATTTCATGTTCGATTTCTTACCATTAACTTGGAATTCATGAAATTCAAATAAGGGCAAGTTCTCCATGCGAGTGCAAGAATCATTTGCCATTGAATGATTAAAAATTGAGTTTAAGTGAGTGTTAGTGGCTCTTCAAAAATGAGTGGTGTTAGTAACAAAAAAAAATTAACATCAAGAACGAAGGGGAACAGAACAATGGCGAATTTAGAAAATATATTCCAAGAAAAAAGCGTGAAAATCAGTCAAATTCTCGCGATAAGGGTTTAAGAGTTTACTAAGGCAAATTGTATATAACGAGTTTTTTTTTTCAAAACATTTCGCCCTCTTTAATTGCAATTTATAAAATTGTTCGAGGGGATAAGCATATGTCAAGCTTTTCTTTAAATACCTGCGAAGCCATATCGCAAAAGAATAATGCTAATAATTAATAATATTAATTGGAGACACGGGTTTATAAGGCGGATCAAAAAATATCCCCAACAAAACTCTAATGTCATTTAGACGAGAGCTGGATCAACGTGGGTCATACGATTATGCTTGGCTGACAATACCATAGCAGAGTGCAGAGACGCTTTTTTAAGGTTAAATTAACAACATCTATACCGGATCAATGTATATCCCTCGGCATAAAAAAGGAGCTAAAAAGAATACGGCAATTATAGAACCATCGCTCTGATAAATCATGTGAGTCCTCTTGCAAATCATACAGGAACGATCGAAGAATTACCTTCTACCGCAGATCCCCCCAGAACAGGCAGGGTTTGTGACGGGTAGTGGAACGCGAGACGAACTTATGAACGTACGGCAAATTATAGAAAAAATGTAAAACTACAATGTACCAAACGACTACTAATAAGAAATGCTTGAATTCCTTCAAAGTGTGAAAGCTGGTAGTTTGGAATCAGGCCCAGACCTCAGACAATCCCAATACCAATTCTACATATTCATGATATAGAAACCACTGTCATCTATCTTGGGGCAAAACTAACTAGCAAAAGAGGCTCTGAGCCAGAAATCAAGAGAAGGATTGGAATAGCATAAGAAGCTTTGCGTAGAATAGCTAAAATCTGGAAAGACCACAACATTCAAAAAATGACCAACTTATGGGTCGGCTGCTTCCAACAATCCAAAAGCGTATACTAGAATACTTTGGTCACGTGATACGGAAGGATGGTATGGAGAAGATTGTGATCCAAGCGAAAGTGAACGGCAAATCACCAGTTAGATTTATAGACCAGATCAAGGACCTTACAAACATGTCAGTAGCGGAAGTTATGAGAAGAAGAAGAAGGTTTGCACCATGAATAATCGGAATTGAGCAACGACTGGAAAGAGAGAGAGAGAAAACTAACAACATGTCTTAAAGTACCTACAGAAATAACTCCACTTTTCGCTCTGCTTCACGCAGTTTTCTTCTATCGAGCAATGGTCTGACGAATCGCTAATTCGAAAATTTATGTAACAATTTAGAAAAATTTTTTGTTATGAATAACCCTTTTTATGATTCTTGTAAATTTAGGTATCCATTGACCTCATGGAAAAAATTCAAGACTGGTGGCTCAAAAACACAATTTCTCTCTTTCCTTGACGACTCCTACTTGATACCAGAGCATCTGAAAGTTGCCAACGCAAACAGAAATATGTTTGGTGGTTACCCGATGAAGCCTTTCAACATATTGCTGAACAAAATTTGAGTAATTACGTTTAACATGTAAAAAAAAATGAAAAGGAAATACGGTCCGCTGATAATCTCCTAGAACGCGGATGTACTACTATTAGCGTAAATTCTGGGGATAGTTATGAAAACGACATTGACATCATAAATTTCAATCATTTACATAAAAATTAGGTAAAGTAAAAATGTAAAATTGTTTAAGACCAAACCTGATTTTTGCTCGACACATCCATGCTACCGCTGGCAACAGTGCGCTCCATAAGACTCAGTGTGACTTGGCTTATAGTAAGTATTTTCCCGTATTTTTTTTTCTGATTTTCTGAACGGGACTCTTGAAACAATCGCCCCCTAGTTTAATACTAAATTATTTATTTTTTAAATCAATAGGTGATAATGTTAATTACAAATTATCGCTTTTCAATGCAGAAGAAAAAATTAGAATAACACGGACAATAAATAAAATTAAACGTATTTAAAATACAAAAATCCGCAATTTAATCAAAATTAAAAAAAAACGAACATATAGAAAATAAATTAAAAAGAAACATACCGATAATAGGAGAGGTGGGGCAACCGTCTTCGTCGGAATTGTCGCTGCAATCTCTCTTACCGTCACACCTGCTACTATGAGGTACGCATTGTAAATTTCTACATTGCAACTCATCGCTTTGGCAAGTGGGACGGTTATCTAATAAACCATAATACCAACAAATCAAAAGAAAATAAACAAATGAAGATAAACATAAACGGCGGCGCAAAACAAAGTAAAATTCCAAATATATTGTGTTTTTTTTATCTTAAGTAAGTAAATTGAAGGAGTTGTACCTTCGAAAGCTCTAAATCTGAAGTCCTCCGGGGATACAGTCAATGATCCTATTCTGTGCTGACTAGAGATATGTTGCAACAGTAAGTTTTCTATCAAGAGACTACTGTCGGGTCCCTGAGATTCGATGTCGACGGTTATTCTTATTTTAAGTACATCCTCTTCATCTTTCCTGCGGTCAAAATAAACAAATGAATTAACACAATGGCCAAAACCATAATGAAAAAATTAATTAATTTACATAAATAATTTGATTCTACTCCCGTCTGTAAAATACACAATTACCCACCGATCTAATGTGCGGGAAGGGTCACTTTACCACGTCAGTTTCGTTTCCTATGAATCCGAGCGACTCGGACATTTCCGGGATTTTACCGCACGCAATTTTCAAAAATTTTCAAATCGTAAATGCCATAATCAAGTAGAGCAGTATCTTGGACTTTTAGAGCCATGCAATGAGAAAAGGGTTTAGGAGAACTTCTGCCAATCTTGGGATAGGCGATAACACTCCATTAAAAAATATGGAGGTTGGAAGAGGATAAAGGAGGAGAGGGATAGTCTTACTAATAAAATTTCTATGTCCGACACAAATAAATCATTGATATTCGTGGAAGCGAAAAATCCTGAAAATGCCCCAATACATTCACTAGCAGAGAAATCGTAATGAAAAATAGTGAAAATTGAATAGAATCTGTATGTTAGCATTTAACATTTAATGTTAATATCATATACGTTGACAACTTTAGTCACATAAAGTAATGAACAGTTACTACTATTATTATAAACTCTCAGTTTTTGAAATTTCCATTTTACTAAAAGAAGCATAAATGCTACTACATAAAATAATGAACATTTTTTGTCATTGTTATTTTATTTTCTTATGTCTGAGAAAAGTGCATGCTGTTATATTTTCTCGAAAAGTTGAGAAAAAAGGCAAGTTTTATAGTCCATAAATATACACGGTGTTCTATTTAAAAAAACATAGTAGGGTCAGATTACTTTTGACCTGGCCCTGTATACTAATTCCCAAGGCGGAATTTAGTTCTACGGTAAAAGTTATATAACAGTTTTCACATTTTCGATAAGTTATCTGATAGTTGAGATACGAGGGGTACCTTAAAATAGAATATTTTTAATTTAGCTGTAAACGACCAAAAGTATCTAAAATGAGACACACTATATTATGAAAGAATTTAGAAAAACTGGTTGATAGTTTCCAACAGCTCCAGATAACACAAATAGCATTTCTATTTGTAAAGTTACAAGACAGATGTCAAAAGTTTTTAGGAAGTTGTATTTTTAGTATACTTTATACATTTATGCATTTTGTGGTCTAGATTTTCAATGCCGAAAAATTTTGTAAAAATGGAAAAATTACTAGAAAAATGTGGAATTTCAGCCAAAAAGAAATTTATATGAAATATGTCTCGTCTAATATGTAATTACAATATAACCCGCATGTAATAGACAGTCAAAGATGTAAATTCACCTAGTGGTTCATGACTCCACTTTTAATTTTGAAAAATAAAATTGATCTACCGTTTCCCACGGGGTTTCCCGCCTGATCGTACGTCGATGTCTCCACCAAATAATTCGCCGTTTTCGACTTGCGGGTGTAAAATTGTTAGTAGATTAGCTCGATACTTACTCGATGCTGATGACGGTGAACGAATAGATACCGACTTGGTCAGCGAATAGCCCCTTTAAGGCGTCTTCGACGTTGGTCGCCAAGTCTACGAACTCGTACGAGTTTCTGTCGTTGAAGCCAGCGACATAGGGCTCCAATGCCGTGAATGTCGATCGGTAGTACCCTAAAAAAACATGTTACTAAAAAAACAACGGCGACAAGAAAACGCAAAATTCACATAAAGTCTGAGTGTCGACAAGATTACAAATTTAATTCCATTGGAATATTTCCTAACTTTAGTGGAAAATACAATTCAGTTTATGAACTTACTGACTACTTATTAAATTACTCATGAAATATTAATTTTTATTGTTTAAATATTTTAGAATAGAAATTTTCATTTTCATAATCCCAATGGCCGAGATTTTGAGCTAAAGAATATCTAAAAATTGAATTAAAAAAAACAGCTTTTAAAACAACGTATGAACCAAAACAAAATAAAACGAAGGAATAAAAATGAGCAGTCCAGAGCATCCACCATTGTATCAACACAATCATCAAATTACCCACACATTTATTCAACTTTTTCTCGGCTCAGTACCCTTGCAAACTTACAAATTACGGAACATTTGAGGAATTTGCCCACCGATGGGCTGCATAGATTAGGGTGGACGAATACAAATGTAGAGCGAGCAATGAAAAGTGCTGGTGGAACAGTGATGAGTTGATGGAAAAACAAAATTGGGAAGCTTGGATGAAGAAGGATAAAAGTTTCGGGTAAGTAGCTAACCTTTTGTAAGTTTACGATATGAGTAAACAGGACATCCGAAACTGTCAGCTGTTTATCAGAGAGAGTCTAGTAGAAAGAGTGTCCAAATTCACTAAATTCACTTATTTGGGAAAAATAATTAATGAGGATGACTCGAAAAGAGACTGCGTAACAGAAAAAGGAAAACAAATTTTTATCAAAATGTCAAAATTGTTTTCAAGCCACAATTTGGACCTCACAGAATAGAGTCATTTATATTAACAGAAGCAACCCAAAAAAAAACACGAAGCATTTGAAATATGGCTATAGAGGAGAATCAGTACTTGAAGGAATGAGCAAAGAAAGGAAATTGATAAACATTATAAAAAGAAGAATACTTGAATATCTGAGCGAATGCGAAACGAAAACAAATACCATACAATTAAAGATATTTTCCAGAGGAGGGTCTACGGCAAGAGAGGACCTGGGATGCATAGGATGCCTAATAACACCGATCTGCCAGAAACATCTTATTTAGGTCCAATCTAGGTCCTTATGTTTCACGCATAAGCAGTATATCCAATAGAAACAGAGTTTTCCCCAAGATGTTTTATAAACAAACATTTACAAAAATAAACTATTCTAAGGCAGTCTTTTCGGTATCAAGAATATGCAACCGTCAAAATAATTAATATAGTTAATATATTTCATTGGCGTGTACATTTAATAATTTAACAAATTTGTTTTACTTCAGATGCAAAAATTTTTGTCAAAAGTCTAGTAAATAAACGAAAGCTTTTTAACAAATTAAATTAAACGCCTTAAACACAATTAGACAAGACAACTGAACCAGCTACCTCGCCGGCTTTAGCTTTTCAACAAAGTTATTCTCATGAGACCTTAAATGAGTGCTTTATCAATCTTCGGAAGTACCATTTTAGGGAAGTCGGTAACTGAAATCTCAAATAGAAATGATTTTATTTTTGTTATAGGAGCAAGTTACAACAATCTGAACCTTACTTCTCCTCGGACAATGAGAGGCTTCACTGAACCAAATTAAGGAAAATTTAACTAATAACAGTGAGTTTTATATGTTTATAAATAGGTTTCGCAAGTAGATGTGTCTATAGAGCGCCAAGCACTAAATATTTCACAGATATCATCATATTTGAGACATTTGCTATTACTTGACCCCCTGGCAAACTTGGCATGTGTGGTGCGATCTTAACTAACAGATTTTAGTTACGTTGTTACTCACAAGTCCTGTACAATATCCAAGCACTTTTAGTGAAAATACAAATTAAAACCAAATTAAACAAGAAGTCGGAAACAACAACAAATAAAATTCTAACATTTTAGAAAAATCCGAGATGGATTTTTTCAGAAACAATTTAAAGACTTCTTGTCTCTAACTGAAAGGGATTCAGCATTTACATCTTTTACGCTATCTATGAACACAGTGCCACCATGATGGACGAGTAGGAACTTCTTCCACATACAGACATTATTTGTTATGTGCAGTTTTTGCAGAAGAGTAACATATAGGGACAAAAACTTAACACTTAATACTTAATTTTCTGATGTGTAAGTTGAATTCTTTACAAATATAGAGGGACCAAATTCCTATGCATTTATCCGATTAGTTATTAGTTAGTGATGTTTCACCCGAACAGTTCTCATTTCTTGGAAAGAAAGGCAAATATATTCAGAAAAGTATTAAGTAAGTGCTTAATATCTGTGTTTAGGTTTGAGAATTAATCGACTGATATCTAATTTTGTAAATAATTCTAGTAATCAAAAGAATTTTTCAATTTAAAATAAGATATATCAATGTACGGTTTATATATACAAACTAAAACTATAATACTGATGCTTTTACTAGTTATTGGAATATGTTTTTTTTTTATATATTACTATAGATAACTTTTACATATCTATCTATAAATCTCAGAGTCTGCGCAAAGGTTGGAGCATTCGTGCAATCATACAGAGGCTGAGCAAAGGGCTGCAAAGAGCGAAAGAGAGGTGCCACAGGGCTGAAATTCAAATGGTAAGTATTTGTTTTTTACCTTGATAGAATTTATTTGTTTTCTAAATATGAAGTCATCCCTTTCTAATAAACCTAATGAACAAGTCTAAAATGATTTAATACAAACATCCCAAGGATGTTTTATACAACTGTCGGGGATGTTTCAGATACAACTTAGACCAACTTGGAAGCCTCCCGTAGGGGGGGACATGCGAAATGATGATGGTCGGGATTTTTCTGTACATGATTTACCAAAACAACCTTTGAATAATTTAGAGTACCCGTAAACAAGGTAAGATGATGATCACCAATATTCGGAACGAATAGGCACTTGAAGTAGAAGAAAATATGTTTACGTCAAGACTTGAATTCCCTATCTGTGTGTGGGATAGCACTTAAAATTTTGATTTGAACAGTCGCGGAAGTATTAGATTTTATGTGAGAAAGAACCCGGCATAAAAAACTTAATTTTGCACCTCATTGCAATTTTGCAAAATCGACATTTTTTAAATTTTGTATTTACTTACTGGGATGACTAGGAGACGCTCTAGTGGTAGTTGTTGTGGGCGGTTCCGCCGTTTCTACTTCGCCGGAACCCAGATCTCCGGATGCAAAACCAGCGGCTATATCTTCATCGTCGGATCTGAAATTTTATAGACAAATACGCATAACAAAATATGAGCTTGAAGAAATAACTTACGCGATGGGGGGAAAGCTCTCTTCACCCTCCGCTTCACCGTCCTGTAAGAAAAACCAAGCTCAGTCTATGAGGACTTTTAACGTATTTTTAATCCCAAAGATGATTATCAACGAGTTCAACAGTAGTATGATTAGATGGTTATTTATTAGAACACACAAACACACGAACGATTCTTTGTTAACATGCTACGAAGGACACGCATGTAACATATACAGGGTGTTGTTGAATTGACATCTTACAATTTATTGAATGAACCTCAAGATCTAGGCAAATGGCAAAAATGTTCTTTATAATGGTCGCATTGTTGCAATGGTATCCCAGAAAAAAATCTCCAAAGGTTTGGTATAAGATGATGTGAAAAATGAACCGTTTCAACGGACTTGCTATTTCGTTTACAAACACTACAATGAATTCGGGATTATTTTTTTTGCACTAACCACGCGAATTTCAAATTCAAACGCCAATAGCAATTTGTGGTTTATTGGTTTACTTTCTATATTCAAATATGAAAAAAAAACTAATTTTGCCCACTAACAATACAAAAGATTCCTAATTACTCTTTAGCAAAAACATACTTTTTATCTATCAAAGCTCAAAGGATGCATAAATAGTTTTTAGCAAGAACATTGCTAGTTACATAAAATCAAACCTTAAAAAGTAATATCTTAAATTATTAAATCATTTATTTCGCCTCCCAACTATGAAACAACCGATTCAACGGTTCTATTACCTTTTCTGGTAACAAGACAAAAGGCTCCTGATTATTTTTTGTTATGAACATTGACAATTTTATAAATGAACGCCATCTGTTCAATAGTTGAATCAATCCGACTTATAAAAGAAAGTAATAATAAATAAGGCTGTTGATGAATTTCAGGACTGTTTTACAAACAAAAGCGTTACTTTTGATTTAACAAAAAGAGACTTAATTCTCTTTGAAGATTAACAGAAAAATTTGATGTCATTAGTATGGATGTTCTTTCGAACAAACTCGCTAATGACAGCATTAGTTTAGAGAGACAAAAATGAAAGCATATTAAGGAGTCTGGTAACAAGAAATTAAAGTATCACACAAGCAAAACAAAGTGGAGTGACCGAACCAAAACAAGAAACAAATTTCAGGAAAAATGCTACCGCATGTCCATTCTAATGATGAGGAGTGTGGACACTAAGTTCATTTTTGCAAAATGAATAAAAAAAAGAATAAAAAACGAATTTAATGTTGAAACGAACAGTTAATTATATTTCTGTAACTAAGGATGATGCATATGGTCCATCTAAATGTAACCCAGAGATATAATTGCGTAGGCTTTCACGGCCGGCGTAATAATCTCTGAGATTTCTCGGGCTGTGGTCCATTGGTTTTGCGACGACTGTATCGGTACACAAAATTGTAGGCATTGAAGTACAAATCATCCCCGATAAGTGAGAGAAAATCATATGCAGTTATCAAAATTAGCATTACAATTTCTTCAACATGACTTAATTCTTACTTTCACAGCGCTAATATAATAATAGTAATTATTGTTTATTCGATTTTGGTCTTATCATAGATGAAACTTTAACTTTTTTTTAACACATTTTGAGAATAATAGAAAACGACTAACCAAAATATGAAATATCTACTAACAATTTCAAAATAATAGTTGCCCCATGTTAATTCTTTGATTTTGACATAACGAACATGGTAATTTGAAGCATTGAAGTTGGTAAAGTTATTTAATATTTTAAAATTAGAACAACGTAAAATTGCATTGTAAAATTAACTTATAAAAATGTAAATGGTCAACAAAAATCAAACTCTCGTCTTATTGCTGACAAGATAATCTATTTTTTTACATCTAACAGAATTAATAATATATAATGTTTATTTCAAGACCAGAGCTTCGTAGGCACTGTTTAAAAATGGCGTTATTATTTGTTGCCATTTTGCATACTATTAAAAAAAAGCGACTCCCAGTACCACTTTTTCTTTCACCAACGCAGAAGATTCTAGATTTAATAAAATCACTAACTCATTCGACAAGTCATTATTACCTTCTACACACGTTTTTCAAAGAGTAACAAATTCATTGTTTAGTCATTCCGCAGTCGTAGAACCAAATAACATCTCCAGTTTACCCATTAGTCATAATTGTTTTTATGACACTAGCTACGAAAATTTCCAGTTCATGATTTTACATTGAGCTGTATCGAACTTAACATGAGGTCCAGATGAACTAATTAGTAAACCAACACCCTGTATGTTATATGGGTATAAGGATTATTTGATTTTAAACCATCATTTTCAAAGTACTTTCATGAGAAATATTTCCGTACAGAGTAACGAATCTAAAGAGGAAGAAAAAATATTTTTTGCTGATTTGCTGAGGAAGCATCGGTTTTGAATTAAAAGAATTAAATAAAAAAAGGTAAGATTTGGTGTTTCATAAAAATATGACATAACTTGTCAAGTAAATTCAGTTGAGGAAGAAATTAATAAAACCTTCAGGTGTCATGCAGATGAGGTGTGCAACCCCGAGAACAAAAACACAATGGGGATGATGATGGCGACTCATACGTGTGAAATTTTGGTATATAAAAGATGTCCAAAAACGCGGGACTATCCTTGTCGCAACTGAACCGCGGTAATTTCCAAAAATAAATGGAATACATACATATTTATGACGACAAAGCGGATGACGCAACGATGCGTAACGAGCAATGACTTAAAATTTTTCGTTCTCACTTACTACTTCTATTTCTCCGTAGTCATCGTTAGTATCAAGCAAGTCTTTAACTTCCTGCGGAGATAAAAGACTGCTTAGCGTTCCAAAAATTCAAAAAATGTTTCATAGCTAAACCAATGGGACATTCGAAACAGATAAAAACCAAAATTGTGGACACAATCGCAACTTTCTGAGATATCTAATGGAGCTTCAACACGCCTTATTAAACAAAAAAATAATATTTTATATTTCGTGGTTTATTTCCAGCCCTTTGGTAGATACCGGATCTCCGTCCACAATTTTATAGTTTATACAAAGTGTCCGTTGGTTTATCCTTTACGTTTCTGGTGCCGATAGCTCTTGGAAATTGGCCTTCAGTCGAATTGTTTTCCTATGCTTTGCATGATGAGGTAACGATATATACTTCATTGACTCATTGGTTTCAAAAATTATGAGAATATGGTAAATTCCAAGATTGTTAGGATGCAGGATTTAAAATTATTTTAAAGTATAGTGGCTCAACAAAGCGCGAAGAATAAAACGTTTTTTTTTAAATCGAAGACCCTATATTTAAATGTTGTTTTTAATTTGTTTTGAAATTCTGCAAATTTTTCATTATTGATAAAACATACCTAAACCTAATAGTTTTCCTAAAAAATACGGAAAAGATATATGCAACACAATTTGAACCAGATGCTACAGAATGATTAAAATAAACTAAGCGATTTTGAGATTTATTTTTACTTCTATCTATATTAGTTGGACATGACAAAACTATTACTAAAGAGGCTTCTGCTAAGATTAAAAAATAAACCGCAGAAATAACTTAGTTGGAGCCGTAAGTAAAGCAAGACAGAGTAATTATTAATTTTGGTGAAAATAACACCCAAATTTTAAATCCATAAAAAAAAGTAAATAATATTATATACCTATTAATACAAATTAACATATCTGATTTTTAATTATTATTATGGCGAAATAAATGATGAAAAAGTTGCCATTCTACACATGTTTAGTCTTTTTTGAGTATTTTCTTGGACGGTCATTAGCATAAACGGTGTTATTCTAATACACAAGTTCCAAATCCTATTTTACGTATCTTCTGGTGTTTTAGGAGATTCACATAACATACCCACACAAAAAGAAATCTAGTGGTGTTAAGTCACATGATCGAGGGTGCCAACCAATGAAACCACCTCTACCGCACCATTTCTGTAAATACTCGATAGTAATGTGGAGCTCCATCTTGCAGACACCACATTTGTTGGATCTGAATATTATCAACTTCTTGAAGAAGTTGAGGTAAATCATTATGCAAACAATGTAAACATCTAGGCCCCTTAAGTGGTTGACGAAAAAAACATGGTGAAGTAACTTGAATGTGTTTTATTCTACACCACACATTAAGGGACCAATGGTTTTGGTTTCGCATTTTCCGTATCCAAAACCATAATAATAATGTTTATTTAGTAAAACTCAATAACAAAATAGTGACATTAAATAAAATAAGCTTGCTATAATCCACCCAAGCATCAATAAAATACTTGTTTGTGGCATTTCACATAAAACTAAGGTTAAACTTAAATTAATTAACTAATTAAAGCAATTTATATAAAACACAAATCTGGTAAGCCACATAATCGGTACAATTCTCAGGGACCTTGGTAAGTAATTAAAACAAATCCTGAAAAGCACAATTATGCATAATACATATGGTAGCATTTGGCACAATCGGTATAACAATCAAGACACAATTGGTCAAAGCTGTTTAATGGTATGTATGGTGTTTAATGATATGTATGTATGTATGATCACTGTAAAAGTCCAAATCAAATCAAAAATGTATATTACCAAAAAGGTAATATTTCGAAGTACGATGAAAGTTATAAAAACATACTTGTACATATCCATTCTTTTCCCTCATCAATCATTCAATGCTACCACTAGCATCAAGCCGTTCCATTAAACACTGAATGGTTGGTATACGTTCATTATGGCCTTGTAAGTCCTACTGTCAACAGAGTATTGTTTCTCTTTACCCAGTATATAAATCGTAACAATTAATTCAGCTTGTGTTTTTTTTTATTTACTGACACTACAATAAATTTTATGAATTGAACTCAGTTGTCAGGTCAAACTTCGACAATATCATTTTGAAATGACCAACTAACGTTATAGCAATATTCTTAGACAGAAAGGAGGGTAAATATAAAAAAAAAGTATTAAAATAGATATATGATGTTCCTAATAAAAGTTGTAGGTTTCCTAAGATCTGTCAGAAAAAAACATAATAAATATGGTTTGCCATTTAAGGAAATAGATATTTTTCAATTAAACACCCTGTAGCATCTAATTCAAATTCCGTTGCATATCTCTTTTACGTCATCTTCGAATAACGCTAGTTTTAAATGTGAGTGATCTTTCAAATAATCTCTTTGAAAGTGTATAAACTAGAATTTTTTTTAGAAAAATAAAAATAATGGATAAACTATTAAGTTTAGGTATTACTTTTAAGAAAAAAGCTAGATAATTCTAAAAGCTTACTTAAAATAATTTCCAATTGTGCATCCTAAAAATCTTTACAACTTTTGTATTTAGAATAACTTTTCAAACCAATGAGACAATGAATTTTACACTATCGTTGACTCACCCTGTACAAGTTTAATTCCGCCCGAAAGTCAATTCACAATGGCCTTTTCGTATCGTCAAAAAAAAACTTACGTTTTCCATATCATAATCATCCTCAATCTGCTGTTGCTCCTAGATGTTAAAAAAAGGGAATATCGAGATTAGAAGAAGAAAAGACAAAGTAAAAGCAAAGACAAAAAACAAAGAGAAAAAATGCGTCTCATTTGAACTTACGTATTCGTATTCATCCCGATCCTACAAAAATAAAAACACTTCATTCTACAGAACAAACAAACAAAAACGTAGTTTTGTTCCAGAAAAATGGAAATGAAAAAAGAATAACAAGAACAAGTATAAAAATTCATTAGTAAGAAAAACGCAAACCTGATACGAGGCTTGACGATGCGTTCTAAGATGGTCGGACTTTTGTCGGTTCTTAGCAGACGATTTTCGTTTGAGATGGTTGGCAGAATGATTCTTGTCATGGGTCGATTTTTGTACCCGTTCGTTTTCGCCATTTCCTTCGCTGTTGATAAATAAACCGCCTATGCTTCGCTTTAACCTATCTACAGTGCTCGACAACCAATGTTGATCTTCCACCGGCGGACTAGAATTGCTTAAATCGCTTGATTCCCTGGCTATCCTGCGCAGGCTCTCGTAATTTTTCGATTCCAAGATGTCGAATACTAAGTCGGAATCCTCCTGAAAAAGGAAAATGTTGGATATAATCGTGGTTTCATGCTCTTTGATTTTAAATTGTTTTCGATCCCAAATTAAAAACACTCAGTGGAGCGGTAGAAGCGTGGGACGCTATTTAAAGAAACATTACGATCTCAAAAAATTCATGTTTTTTCAAGTTTTAAAGCTAATTTCAGGTCGTTGCTAAAATTTAATTTGATGAGGAACTTGATCAAACGTATTGCTGGAGCTATTATTTAATTTTCGCTCAAACTCTTGTTACGTGCTTAAATAGAAACGAATTACTTCTAAGAGGCAGGGTGTCTCATGGCAGGTTGGTTAGGGGGCGAAAAAGTAATATTTGATATTGAAATAATGGAAATGGTAGTTATCTATGATAGAAATAACTTATGATTTTAACTTTTAGACATACCTGGAACTCGAAGTATAGTAGCTCTTTGTAGTTAACAGCAGAATGAAGGCATTAATTTCCTAATAATAAAAAACCTCAACAAATCTGGATTACTGTCCTATTAGCAAAATCTTTTACGCTGTCGATGAATAGAACTTCCTGACATTTCGACAACCATCATCTTATGGGCTTCACCAGAGGTTAACTGACACTGCATTCTACTCTGTACCAGCTTAAATAGTGTTTGAGGGAGGCGGAGCGAAAAGAGAGACATGATGACATGTGGGACGACTGATTCCCATGTTGGTGAAATGTAAAGACCTGAGTCGCGGTTAAGATTGTGTGATTGTTTTTAGATTGCAATGGATTTCTTGGTTTAGTTTGGTCGAATGAGATTTGATATCTGCTTTCGTGACTACGTTCGGCAACTTCTCATGAGTTTATTTGTAATAGTCTTAAGGTTCTTTCATGTTATTTTGGCCTGGTTGAAATTGTTCGTCGTGTCCGACCAATGTATGATTTGCGGCCATATAGCTACTAGACATATGGAGGCCCTGCCTATGTAAATAGTACAGGAACTCGTGCAGCAAATATGTAACAAAATTTTGAGAAGGTCTGTTCAATATGCGCATGAGCGAGATTTCTTTTTTAACCAGTGGCGAGCTGCCATTGGTTAAAATAATTATAAATTCCAACGTTCGACCCATAAGGCCTTGCGGCTTTCAACAACCAACATGGACGCTGGCAGATCGTAAATGTTTCTATGCGGCAGTATTTTCTCAAAATATGTCGAAATCATATTAAATTTTCAGGAAAAAAAGGAATTAAGGTGTGAAAAGCGTTGTTAAAAAAATTAGCGACAAGTGCATGGTTTATATTATGCTGAATTGCAGCATACGGATCGACGTCTTTAATATAATTCTGTAAGTAGTTTGGCGTTTTTGTTCTTTAAGCCCAATAGACACGATACTAACTATTTTTTCCCGAATTTGTGCCCGTAAATCGGCGCAAACAGTTTGTTTTTATAAACTTATTGGTTTAACTTCCATTGAAAATGTAAATAAAGTCAAATTCGCGAAATGTGACTCTAAAAGTGTAAATATAACTTTGAGGTACTAGATATCGCACAAGTACCTCATATAGACAGAACGCCCATTCTTTCATCGCAAGTCTAGTAATTGCAGAAAGTGCCGCCTCCCAAATATATAATTATGAAAAGTACCAATTGACAATTTCATTAAACAACTGTAGGTATTGGAAAATGTAACCAAGAAAATTAAAAACTAGTATAAAACAAGTCAATAAGCAATTAGCCCTAAATGTAACAGAATTAACATTACCAAACCCTAAAAAGTGTAGTGTATTCTCTCAAAATTTAAAAAACATTTTGGTAGCAAAAATTGCATGGCGGCTACTTTTTAACAGCAATTATTAAATGCTAAAAATAAATGTAGAAATTGCATTGTGTCTACCGGGCTTTAGATATTAGTATCAATTCACACAATAATTTAGCTATATTTTATTGCAATTTGCATTCAAGTATAAATAATCAAAAAGAGAGAATCATAACCAACAAAAATGTAAACAACAATGTCACAGACTGATAGTATTCTTTGGGAATAGTAATTCCTAGCTCGGCGTTGCCAATTATATTCAGATTTCAGAGACTAATTTTGCATTCTTATGAAAATTTGTCAATTTTTTCAGAAAAATTACGGCAATGTGACAATTCGGTTAGTTGGGAGTGACGCATGCGCAAAAGATCCCCACCTTCTGTACGAAAATGTCATAGCCAACTGCGGCGCATCACTTTTCACCGTAGTAGGGCCACTATATATGTTTGCAGCATATGCATGGAATGCTCTAAATTCCCGGTGTCCCAAACGGAATTTTGTCTTTGATGAATCAAAGATATTAAGAGATTTTTTTCTATTGCTAAATCTGGTTCTAACATTAAACAGGGTGTCCCATAAATAATTTAGTTTGTGATTTTTTTAAATAATTTCTGAAATAATCGAGTAAACGTGGCAAATCGTTTTTTCATGAATAATTTTGGGCTAAATTGTAGGGAGCTCTACGTATGGTACTTTTCGTGCATTTGACACTTACTAACTTTTTTGTGCCTTGGTATACGCAGATTTTCATTAAGATTTTTAATAAAGATATCACAAGGAAGTTGCTAACCGATAACTTCTGGCCCGAATGGCGATATGAATTCATTAATGTATCGGTGTGTGTAGGTAGGTTTTCTGAAATAGCACAAAAATTATATTTATGTATTATAGTTCTGTTTGAAAATTTACCATAACTAGTAGACTGCAATTCAGAAGTCAACTTGTTTTACGCCAATAGTTTGTGTCGACAGTTAAGAGTTTTGTATTTAAGTTTCTTACATATAGTACAAGCTGTTCCCGATATACCGAGCAATATTAAAAAACGTAATAGCTACCCTAAATTTGCAGTTACCGACTTCCAATTTGGCAGGGAAGTAAAAACCCGGACCCACATTTACATCATTAAAGTGCGATCAAATACGGCAAAGTATTTTTTTTTAATTTTTGAATTTTTTTTCGGGGTTATTTTGGTTTCCAAAAAAAATATTTTCTCCAAAACTATTAACCCGCTCGGCAAAATTCTTTAACTAGCAGACGCTGAAGATCCAGCACTATAACTTTTATTTTAAGCATTGTTTCGCTTATATACAGGGTTTTTTAATTATGGACAAAAATCTCAAAGACTCTGAAAATTGTCTTTCCGGAGTAAATTATCAGCCATAAATCAAAATTCGTAAAAAAATACGACTCATTAGTTTAAACAGTGTTATAGGCCATATCGAGAGCTACAATTTTTGTATTTACAGTTTTCGTCTATCACATACGCTGTTCCAGATATTTGAAAAAATCGAAAAATAAAATCACTCCTTGGGGTGTTATAAACTTGAAGTCGACAATTTCACGATTTAACATATTGATATTAACATTTCAAAAATAAAATGACTGATTTTTCACAAAAAATTCCGCAAGCTATATGTAATAATCCTGTTGGATTCTTCAAAGCTTAAGCTTAACTTCAGACACAGATAATTTGATTCGCAATATACGAGAAAAATAACTAAAATCGGATATGAAATATAATAAAATCTGTCCGATCAGAATTTAATAATAATTGGTAACTACCAGTGACTTCGAATGTTCAGATTTGTGCGAAAACCAATGAAAAGTAATACCTTCGCATATAAAAAAACTCGTCGTAATGGATCGCATTGCCGATTGGATAAATGCCTCTAATTAGGGCCTTCACGCTGATAAGCGATCTCTAACGCAGGCTTAAAATAAACCATAATAATTAGTCCAGCAATTTCGCAATCTATCAATTTAATTACCGACTCGCTGCATAACCGGACGATTTTAAATAGCCTTAATCCGATTACGATTAATAAAGAATCCCGATAGTGCGAGGGTAATTATTGCCAATATAGATAATTACATTGATTTAGCAGCGGGTGATGATCTATAGCGCGTTAGACTTACTAACAAACGTCACAGTATGGAAGCATAGCACAGTCATTCGAAAATTGTGTTACAAAAATCTTTCATTAATACTTGAAATGCATATACAAATTTTTCTAAATGGTAATTGTAATGGTTACAATTGAAAAGTATCAGTTGCCAGGTTATTGTTAATAACTTTTTTTAAATTTAATTTTAAGAATGGGGGTTTTGTCTGTTGCTGGAATCTGTGTAATTTTTTCTTACTTAAAGCACTTGTAGTAAACTTAGTAATTTTTAATAATAATTATAATTAAAGACCTGAACTTCATATGAAAAAAGTCTACATTTTAGAAGTTAGAATTGAAGGAAAAAGTAGGTTTTTGGAAATAAAAATTCAACATCATTATTATTTATTGCTTTCTATTTGTTTTCATTGCTTAATACACTGTAAATCTATTAGTTTCAAATACGATAATTAATACGTGAAGTGAATCTAAAATGTTTTCTTTTTGCAGGTGTTATCATTGAAAAGTACGAAAGCGCTCAACGGTTACCAAAACTGAAATATAAGTTTTGGTTAGTTTATTATATATATATATTAAGTTCGTATATAACAAATATAAAATATAAACATATATAATATTTAATGGTGGGCCAAAATAACTTTTTATATTATTTAGAACAATTTAACAACTTAATACTACCTTTTGCTTAAATTACGGTCAAAATTCATTTAGGCATAGGTTAACGAGAGCGCGGTATTCTTCCGGGTTAACTGAATACCACACTTTCTTAATTGTAGACATTAAACCTTAGTGCGTTCTTTTGGGATCTTTTCTTAATTTTTGTTTCATTTCATGCTACATGATTTGGATTACATTCAAGTCGGAACTGCTGATTTGAGAGTAGTTTTAAGTACTTCTTGATACGTCTCTGCGGTAACTGTGCCATTTATGAACTGTATATTTCCTACTTCCTTCGGGGAAATACAACCACAAATCGTTTACACACAAGCAAACATTACAGCAGTTCTTATGGAAAGAACCAATTTTTTGTTCTTTTCGATTATCAAATTTTGACTCCACACCACCAAAATAAGTGTTTTTTTTTCTGTCACTCGG